AGTAACGGAGTTATGTATCTCGGTTTGCATGTCTGTTAAGCATGTTTCTAAACGTAACGCGAATTGCGATACTGATTCGTTGGGCTGCTGTTTACATGACTGCAGCTCAAAGAATAAGTGGCTGTAATGTTTCTTTTCTCCGAAGTTTTGTCGCAGGAATGATTGCAATGATTCGAAATCTTCAAAAATTTTATTTGAACATGCTATTTGAGCCTTGTCTCGTAATTTAGACAATATGTATTTTAAGATCAACTTTTTTTGGCTCTCTGAGGCAAGATTCAGCGCATTTTGGCAGTTCGTTAAGAATGCAGGTAAAGTTTCGCGATCTCCTCGGTATATATCAATAAAGTCACATAAGATTTTAAGAGGATATTGTTCACTGAGTGACACTTCGGTCCTAGACATTTTGAAAAATGATTAGAGACACGATTAAGTATAAATTAGATAAAGATTTTGAGATTGTAGGATTAGGAATTATTTGAAATGGGAATAGGATTAGCAATAACAAGAGATAAGATATTCTACTCACAGCAGCACGGCGAGCAGGAGTGTGGAGTACATCGCAGACTTCGTAGAGGTGACCAGGTAAGTTGAACACACCAGGTACTGGATCAATGACGGCAGCAAGATCGGGCGGCAGTGAGGGTCGTGTGGTAAGTAGCTCTAGGACAGGACACGTTGCAGCGCGTCAGCGAGAGCAGGAGAGGCGTCGACGACCCGGTAGCTCAGCAATGGTGGGCTGACAAGACTCACTTTCTAAGTCAGGTAATTTTCAGGTGCCGGAGTTCGATGTGAAGGAGTCACGAAACTGTTCGAGTCAGAGTTCAGAATTTTTCATGTGAAATCGCGGCACAATGGTTAGACACAAGCAGAGTTCTCGAACTTGGCGATATTGGTATATCGCTGTACACGAAAGAGTTTGTAGTAGATACAGAGTTCAAGTTATCACTCGCGTAATACGCGTTGAAATACCAGCACATTCAATACTGGTATCCCACTTCTGACACCACTGTTACGGGGTGGGTCTCAGTAGGCTTTTTAAAAAAAATACTTTTAATAGAACTGGAAAAATATTTAATTAATAAAAAGGTTTACAAAAGCCTATTATCCGCGACGACGTTCAAATCCACACTGATGTACTAAGGTATAATTTCTAAGTTATTGCAAAATGCTGAGTCAATGGAAAAATGTAAAATAAGTACACGTAATGCAGTGGAACACACGTGTTGCAGCGTCAGCTGTTTATTATTGTATTCTTATTAATGTTATTTAATATATAACAGTACCCTTAGCTATCGTACTTCTTAATCATTAAGCCCCTAATGACAATCACACCCCATTTAGGTGTTAAGTTCTCATCAAAACAAAGTAATGAAACCCAAACACCAAGTAGCTACTGTCAGCCGTTGAGGAGTTCCCCTGGCTATCATAATCCTTCATCATCAGGCCCTAATGACAGTCATACCCCATTTAGGTGTAAAGTTCTCATCACTACAAATTATTCAAGCCCAAACACCAGGTAGCTACTGTTAAACGTTGAGGAGTTCCCTTAGCTATCATACTACTTCATCATCAGTCTCCTAATGACAATTACATCCAATCTAGATGTAAAGATCTTCTCATTACAAATGATTTAAGCACAAACACGGGGTCACAGGAACTCCTTGAGAATTTGTAGCAATCTACAAACTCTCGAGGAGTGACCTCGGTTTTCTCTTGACTCCATCATCAGATCAACTCCATACCTTCATCAAATTGCAGTAGTTTCAAATACTATAACAAAAAATTAACAAACGCTCTCGCCACCCATACAATTTTGAAAAGTTCCCCTCGGTTTCCATGGGATCCCATCATCAGATCCTGACTTGATGAAAATGGGACCACCCCGAGATTATCACCTTTCCAACAAAAAAAGAATCATCTAAATCCGTCCGCAAATGCCGGAGTAATCGCGTAACATACACACAAAAAAAAACATACAGCCGAATTGAGAACCTCCTCCTTTTTGGGAAGTCGGTTAAAAATACGATATACCTACTTATAATGTAACGTAATGTAAATTAATTAATGAAACTGACAAAATCCAATGGCACTACGGGAATCGGCTTACTGCCGCGTGGGCAGAGACGTCATGCACTCCTCAACAGTCGGTGGCGCTGTGGGTTTGGTCGCTCCACTCCCTACGAAATGGTTGATTGGACCCATTGCTGCCGTGAGCCAGCAGTAATGAGTACCTTCTGCTTGGTAAGCTGATCCAATAGGGCTCATGTAATGTAATGTAGGTAGTAATATTAAGTACTTTGTGTAAAAAAATGTGGTTAATGTAGCATGTAAGATAGACTAACCTGCTGCCCACTGTACAAGACCGCCCATTGTTCTCAAATTACTATTAAAAGGTATACTATTGTTTTGTGTGTGCAATAAAGTATAAAATAAATAATAAATAACAGAGCATGTAAATTAAAAATCAATTCTGTCAGTTAATAAAATAATGGAATAATATTAGAGAAATATTTTTTGTCGTTTGAGAAAAGAATACTTAGATAAATAAAAGGATTTACAGGAGTGCGAAGTCGCTTCTCCATTTCTGAGTATAAAGCGGTCCTAGAAGTGACTACGCACGATATTCCACCATCCCTAATATCCTTACACTTGCATCTACCAGTGACTTTGCCCGTGTTCCCGGGATACAAATCTTAAGTATTGTTGGGCAGAAAGCCCAATTCCAGGTTATAATTTTGTCTCTGTGCCAAATATTCAGATCCATTCGGTACCTAGTGGAAGGTCGAGCAATTTAAAGAACGTAAAGATTTCCTACTTAGTGGCCTTTTCAGTGCATAGAACTCACACAGAACTGTACTGGACTTTGTGGCGAAGCGAAGTGATGTGCATTTGAACTTAAATACCTGTATTACATACATAATACGTCTGGGAGAGCCATGCTTCGGCACGAATGGGCCGGCTTGACCGGAGTGATACCACGGCCTCATAGAAAACCGACGTGAAGCAACGCTTGCGTTGTGTTTCGTCGTGTGAGTGAGGTTACCGGAGGCCCAATTACACTCCTCTTCCCCAATCTCCCCAATCCCTGAATCCCCAACGATCCTCAAACTCCTAATCCCCAAAAGGCCGGTAACGCACTTGTAACGCCTCTGGTGTTCCAGGTGGCTATGGGCGACGCCGATTGCTTACCATGAGGTGATCCATCTGCTCGTTTACCGGCTTATGCCATAAAAAAAATTATATACAATACATTATTTTGACTGCACGGTTGGTGCGGTGGCTGGGCAACCGGCTGCCGTGCAACGTGTCGCGGGTTCGATTCCCGCACGGGACAACACTTTGTGTGATCCACAAATTGTTGTTTCGGGTCTGGGTGTCATTGTCTATGTGAACTTGTATGTTTGTAAACGCACCCACGACACAGGAGAAAATCCTAGAGTGGGGCAACGTTTTATAAAAAAAATAAATAAATATTATACACTTCGGGAGCGAAGAGAAGACGACAGGAGAGTTTAGTTACCATTAAAATTGAAGCATTTTGTCGTAACAGGATTTTTTTTAAAGTCATAGAGGGTTCGAGGAAATAAAAAAAAAACGCTTGTGGCGTCGTTTCTTTGCTTCCAAGTGTAAATATCAGTATATAATTTATACATTGTATATAGGCCATTGCCTGTTACGAAAGCCCTGAAAGCCTTTCAGTGGCACGACCTTCAGAAATGAAGCAAGCGATCGAAAAGAATATAGGCCATAAAACATGGTGCCACACGCAGAAGAGCGGGGGCTGCAAATGAATCCGCATTGGATTATCTAGTATTTCTTCCTGAAGAGCTTATTTAAACGCGTTATTTCAGAACTGCGAGTTTTAATTACAATGTTTGTTTTGTGAATAGTTTATTTATTGAGAAAACCATCAAATATCACGCTACGCCCAATAGGAGCTGAGTGAAGCTCATCGCGCTCAAGTTGTGCTCATACAAGAATTGACTAGCTACTCCCGCGCAATTTTACCCACTGCGCTGCAGCTCGGCTCCAATAAAGCGATAAATTATGAACGCAACACAAAAATAATTAATTCGAATCAGTAATTGTAGAGGTTCAAAATGAAATTCAGAACCGAATTTTATGAATATTTTCTTAACCAAATTTTAAACCTTATGGTAATCGGAACTAAATAGAAAATTACACGTTGACATTGAAAGTAATATTACTTTCACTAACAATCACCTTGTCCATTTATGTCATGTCTGTCTATATGTATGTATGAAAGTCTATTTTTCGTGTATATTAGATAAACATTTGACTGCACGGTTGGCGCGGTGGCTGGGCAACTGGCTGCCGCGCATCGTGTTGCGGGTTCGATTCCCGCACGGAACAACTCTTTGTGTGATCCACAGATTGTTGTTCCGGGTCTGGGTGTCATGTGTATGTGATATTCTATGTTTGTAAACGCACCCACGACACAGGAGAAAATCCTAGTGTGGGGCAACGGTTTAAAAAAAAAATTCAATATTCAGAGAATTTGTCGCCGACCTTGAATCAGTGCCGATCGATCGATGGATACAGAACGATCTATAGGATTTATATCTTAATTATTAGTATTAGTATTATTAGTACCGTCTGCATTCGTCGCGGTGAACCTAACGGGTAACCGGGGCTCCGGCTCGACGTGCAGAAGAACGGGGTGGTTTTTAGTCAGTAAGAGTCTGACACTCCCTCCCGCCTCACCCACGCGGAAGCGATCATTCGATGATTTTACCCCTTAAAAAAAACCGTTTGCATTCGATCAATCCAAAGACCCAATCTTAAAATAAGTTCTCACTAAAACACAGTACGAACCGAGGGAAGAATAAGTTCAACAAAAAAAAAACAATTCAACGATTTTAATTATTTTAAGGTTTAATAAGGTAAATGTGAACAGTAAATCGATTAAATATTAAATTGATTGCTACGTGTAGGTATGTTAATAAATGTAGCTGTCACAAAGTGTTATACCGCAATGTGAACAGTCGTTGCTAGAAGTTAGCAATATGGCGGACTCCTGGCTCTTCACTTGTGTACTGGTTATAATTTGTTTCAGCCTGCCAACCTTTTGCGAAGGTGGTAAAAACTGCGAAGCTTGTGAAGTGACTAAGTGCGATTTTGCTAAAGGTATGCTTTTGTAATGGCTACTCTATTTATATTCATATTCAAGGTACATATTATTTACATAATATGGGAGTTTCAAGCGCGAAAACAGGCTTCAACTGAGCACTTGTCACTTAATACCATGTGTGTCGGAATGTTGCTCATATTGCGAATCGATAGGCGTTTGATTTTTTGACATTTTTGAGCATGCTCAATAGGACGCCTTTTAGCATGCTATAAAGCAAATGTAAGTTAAAGAGATGGGCTTGAACTGCAATAGGAAACACTTCACTTGGACCATTGGTGTTAGAAATGGTTGGTTTGAACGGTTTCTTTGTTTCGGAAACAATAACTTCTACATTATTGTAGACTTTTAACTTGTATTACAGGGTTTTTAAAAAAATCTCAGTAGTAGCACGGAGTCTGGAATTGTGCCCGGTAAATTGTTAGAGGATCACCCCCTATTACATGGGACTCATAACATAAATAGTGAAAAGTGGGTGTTACATTTTACAGTAGCATTAAGTATCGTAATGAGCATCTCTACGCCTTCGGGGAAAAAGCGTGATGTTATGTTATGTTATGTAATGATTTCTCAACAATTGGTTTTTGTTTAGGTGATTACGGACCCCATCTGGTACCAGATATTAACTGGCCTATAGAAATGCGAAGTGGGCAGAAAACGCTGGATATTACCATCCCAGTATCTTGGGTAAAGTATGAACATAATAGAATGAGTATTTGTATGACAAGTTGGTGTTTAGCACACTAGAACTTACAAAAGTACCTTTTTAAAACGAACTTAAACGAAGAAAATAGTTTAACTCGTTGAGTACCGTCATTATAGACACAATTATAGAACAATAGGTTGCGGTCCCCGGTGACCGCTTGGTGTTTGACAGTTTAAGAATTCAATTATTTTTGTAACCTAAGTAGTATAGTAAGTATAGGTACCTAACTACTAAGTATATTTAAATCACCGACAATTCAAGTCTTGCGGAAAACAATCAACACGTAACTTTTACAGGATAAGCCGGTAAACGAGCCGACGTTTCACCTGATGGTAAGCAATCGGCGTCGCCCATGAACATCCAAAACACCAGAGGCGTTACAAGTATGTTAGGTACGGTTTTCGGGAATTAGGAATCGTAGGATTGTTGTGGGTTCAGGGCATTGGGCCTCCGTTAACCTCACTCACATGACGAAACACAACGCAAGCGTTGTTTCAACTCGGTTTCCTGTGAGGCCGTGATATCACTCCGGTCGAGCCGGCCCATTCGTGCCGGAGCATGACTCTCCCACATTTGCAATTCTTAATTCAAATCATTGTTCCATGAGAAAAAAGGTATTGCAAGTTTCTAACAAAATATTATTATGCGTGGTGTCGTACATAACACATTCAATTCCGGTAACTATTACATCTTGTTTCAGGAAACAGACGTACGATTGAATCCTAAGGTAGCGTACGTTTGCATCAAGATGAAAGATGCTGATATGGTCACGGAAGATGCCGTTATAAAGATATCACGAACTCATAAATCGGCAAACATCCGCATCAGACTACACACTGAATTGAGTGAAAGCAAAACTATTTACATTCAATTTTTTGACAACGTATATATTCATGATACCTTGATGCATAGGAATAAATGTACCTAGGTCATAAAAACTTAATAGATGTATTAGTTGTTTTCACTGTACACATGTAAATGACAATGAAATTGATGAGAGAAAACTAGCAGTATCATTTTTATAATCCCTTTATCCTTCTCCTAACCTTTTCTCTTCTTGTGTGGTGGGCAACGAATTTTAATCAGCTTCGGCCATTTTTGTCGTCTGAGTAGGCCAACTTCAACCTGGGTTTTGTATGAAGATACATGTAAGTAAATAATTTATTTCACTGAAAGACAGATTAGGAAATGATAAAAGCTCATTGTTCTGTTACAAGTTAACTCGTCGAGTACCGGTTTTGTAGACACAATTATAGAACAATAGGTTGCGGTCACCGGTGACCGCTTGGTGTTTGACAGTTTAAGGCTCTGCCAGATTTATTAGCACCTTAACGGAACGGAGTGGTTTTAGTCAGTAAGAATCTAACACTCTTTCTCGCCTCGATCCAGTTTTAGTTGTGATTTTGACGATATAAAATAACAATATCCGTCGAAGTATAGCAACGCAAATGCAATACCTACGTAGTAATTTGACATATAAAGCCAGAGTCATCTGTTGTCAGCCTTTTAGAACCCGTTGATTCTTAGCTCCCCTGCCTCATTATTAGGCATATAGTTTTTTTAATTTGTGTACGTTAAAAACACCTACGAAATCAACATGCTACGCTGGCTAGGCCAACGGGATGGTGATCACTGGATGGTGATTTCCGAGCTTGACAATAAGTGGTCTAGTGAAAACACTAAAAGGTTTCAAAATAAAACAACTACCTATTGTGTTGTTATCTGCTAGTTCGAAAAATGCTCATTTATTTGTAGTTGGTCAATTACCATTCGATCCCAACGCCATCTATCGAGGGAGGGGTAAAACTTTTTAAAACCAAATGATTGCTATGGTTTCTAATTTATATTTTGTATACAAACACTGGGTCTGTGATCATTATGCTGGGGCCACACCAACGTTGAACGTGAATGTCCATTAACGCGATAATTATTGCAATAATTTTAACGGCATCGAAGTGGGTGGCTACACTTCAACGGTCAACGTGAATGCTCATTATTGGCGATACAAACGGCATTGAATTTATTTCAAACAAGATGGAGCTCTATATATCATGAGTATTAATTTATATTAAACTAGCTTTTACCCGCGGCTTCGCTCGCGTCACAAAAGGATAAAAATTTGCCTACGTGACTATCCATCCCTTCAACTACCTTCAGTTAAAAAATCACATTAATTAGTACCTCCGTTCTGCCGTTTAAGAGAAGCAAACAAACAAATAGCTTTCTGTTTCCGTGGAATACGGTTACATCGCGCTATTTAGATTATTCCAATAAGTAGGTAATTCGTTGACTGGTTTTATAAGACATATAGCGCCATCTATACCAATATTTTTGTTTTCCTTAGGAAATATCAAACATTTCCGGGATTAAAAGTACCCTTTTATTTAATCCAGACTTCTAACTTTACGTCTGCATAATTTCAAAGCAATCGGTTTAGTAGTTACGATGTGAAAGCGGAACAAACAAACAAACTCACTTTCCGATTTATAATATAAGTAAGGATTTAGGATCCCGCAAACATGGTTCTGTTTGCAGAATCTCGATAAAAGTGATTACTTTTTCATTACTCCACTCCGTCGTCATTGTATACTTGTTTGCACAAAAAACAAAAACACGTCTACTCCCGATGCGCTCTCGACGCACACTGACAAAACATATTCGTCGTCCTACGTCAATTATCGCGTTCATCTCTCATGTACCGCCACCTGAGCTACCGCCTAACGCCAAAAGGCATTGTTAACGCCGTTGTAAAATGATCGCGTTAAGTTGTGGCTACACCTATGGTGAACGTCCATTATCGCGATAATTAATGGCATTTCCCGTTAGTGTGGCCCCGGCATTAGAGCTTTATTTGCTGATCGGCAGGATCAGGATAGTACCACAGCCATCCCTGGTGTAATCCAATTACCAGCAAACCAAACCGTAAAATTTTCTGCAATTGCATAAAGTTGTAAGATTTGTATTAATACGAAGTAATCCGAATCGAATTACCTAATTATAGTAACACATTCCCATTATTTATAAATCAAGTAAAAGTACAAATATTACAGTTTGGTCTGTAAGTGTGTTTGAACTTTCGTTTATGTGCCTATATTCCTAACGAATCTAGTTGTTATAATTATCAGCTGTCTAGTTGTCAGCACATGGCTAGTTGTCCACTATTCATGTTGTTCAGATTCAACTGTAATGTTATGTTCCTTTCAGAAAATTTTAGCTCTACGACTTTTCAACCTTTGACTACCACAATAGCCGCCGTAGATATTTGTATGGCCACTGAAATTAACTAAATAACATCATGTACAAAACAACTTACATCGGAATCAATAGTCAAGCGCATATATCCACGTACTAAGAAACCTTAACAACCGAAATATGTACAATAGGAAAAACATTTTAATTTCAAGTGGAGACAAATGATTTAACTAGGCACCTATAGTCATTAAATAATCCCGTTACTGTAAATTGATTAAGTTCAACATTAATGTTAACCTATGTATAAAGTTAGCCATAGACCAACATCACAGCATCAACAGTCGTGACAAGAAGTTAGCAATATGGCGGACTCCCGACACGTCATCATGTTGTGTGCGCTACTTGTTGCACTTTGTAATTGTGATCCAAATTGTGATTGTCGTTGGGGTATGGATTAAGTTTTTATAAGTTTTTTATCATTATCGGCACTATGTATGTTAACTAAAATCACGGTTTACTCACGTGAATATACTGCGAAAAGCTCTACCAGTTTTGAACCACGGTGAGCTGCGCGACATCGCCGCGACCGCGCACGCTGTCGCGAGGAATGAGGAAGAACCCCTCTGTGGTTCGAAACTACTAGAGCTTTTCTCAGTATATTCACGTGAGTAACTCGCGATTTTAGTTATTCTAGCATCTCTCACGATAGTTATTTTAGGGAACAGACAGTATAGTTCCCTAAGATCGGTAAGGAGGATCCTTCGACCAGGCGAGGTGATCGTGCCTGGCGGGCTTTCTGTCCAAGTGTTGTTCGTTGGGATTTTCTATTCGTGTTTATTCGCCTATAAACTTTGCATGTGCGATGTAGGATTCTTGTGACGTCATCCGTTGACATGTGACATGTGTCGCCACATTATTATAAAAACTATGTACCTATGTTCTTGAAGTACATTTTTAAGTAAATGTTAAAAAATCTTCATTCGAATGAGCTGGTATACATTAATTGGGTACTTGCCTACTAGTCAAATTCAATACTTATTTCGAAATATCAGAAACGACAGATTTCTATGAATTTTGTACGAGATTATGACATCACAATACATGTCATAATCTCGTATTTTTCTTTGCGTCAAACAGTAGGTATTCTTATTTCTTAAAAATTTGCTGAAAATGTACTAAAATTAATTTGGTCATAAAATCATGACCTGTCAAAATGTGTTCTATCCAAATCTTATATTGTTATACCCGAAGAGTCTACATTATGTCCTAATTATGTTTACCACCTAGGTCATACATGTGGAAAGCAATAAGGAACTGAGTATTGAGTATCAATTAATAAAAGTGTGATTATTTTTTAATATTTTATTGTATTGAACAGTTCAAATAATTTATTTTTGATTATGGAAAGTACCCAATTATCTTTTGTTTGGATGACTTAGCTATGTGACATTAATAAACATTCAAAATGGATCTAATAGCGGGGTTTTTGGTGCAATTCCAACAATATGGGAATTAAAAATAAACGGCTATCTGAGAGTACCTGAGATTTTGAAGGAGAATAATCATCCAATATCTTCTTCCGCCTTGGCGCCTTGGGTGAGGCGAAATAGTGCCTGACTCTTACTGATTAGAAATGACCCTGTTCCTATCGTTCTCCTGCTTCGAGCCGGAGCCCCGGTAACCCGGCTAACGACTAGTCGTTGCGATAATTCAGAGCTGCGGAAGACCTAGGTCTAGGAATTATTACCAAGGTATTATTATGCTCTTATAACCAGTGTTTTCAACAGCGATAGCAATTATAATAACATTATTAATTATGGTGTTCTCCATCTATACACAGGAAAGTTCCATAAGACGCTGATAGGAGACACAAAATGGCCATTAAAAATCGCAGAAGGCTCTAATTTCCTGAATGTAGTGATTCCAATGAACGAAGTAAATAACTGGATTCTCTTAATTTTCATTACAAATACAGATTACACACAGTTCATTTTAATGTCGCGGCGTCAACCTATAAGGTTGTAGAGACGCACATATTTAATGAACACCTAATTTTCATCAGTTCTTTCATTCAATAGGCCGGCAAACGAGCAGACGGAAATGACTTGATGGTAAGCAACAAGCGCCGCCAGGGGCACCCGCAACATCAGAGGAGTTATATAAGTGCGTTGCCGGCCTTTTGGGAGTTAGGGATTTGAGGATTGAGAAGATCGGGGAGGGGAGGAATTGAGCCTCCGGTAAGGTTACTGGATAGTGAAGACCACATGGGTGAGGTCAGTCATGTCACAAATTCTACCTCTATAAGTGCAGGTTTGGGCTTTATTGATAAAGCGCGAAAGACGGTGGACGCGAAAGTGGTTCCGAGCAGCTGTTTGCAGAGTGATGTGCGGACAACACAACGACTTAGTTGTGCAAGCAAGTTGACTTCAGATGATATATCCTTCAGATGATATATCCTTCAGACGACACGCGAACATAATTAAACTGCCAGCGCTGAGAACAAATTCATATAGATACCTAAAACCAACCAAATTAGTGCAGGAATAATCTATATCGGGGACAAGCTTCTTCCAGCAGCTTTACGAAATCCAGTGGATAAAAGACCTGTGTATATTCCAGGCCGTCATCTACCCAAGTCCCAAAAAAGTTTTTTTCCGATCCCTTCAGCCGTCTATCGTCCGTGCTTGAGTAAGAAACATACAACAACACACAGACACATTCATAAATATAAGTAAGATAAGCATCTAATATATAAATTATGATTGTTGACTGTTGTAGGATATAGCAGGCATGCAAGAGATTGGTTTTGTATGTGTCGAGATCCAAGGTGGCCTTCAAGACACACGTAGTAACGTATCGGTTATGACTGAATATCTGAACCCTCGCTCGGCTCAAGTCATAATCAGATTAGCTGAACCAACCGAAAAGGATATAGAAATAAACATCCAGTTATATAATAAATCATGTAGAAATACACTTGATTGAAAATGTACTTACGACACAGGAGACATTCCTAGAGCGTAGGCACGTTTTTAAAAAACAAAAATTAGAAAAAATAAAGGAGGAAAAATATAATCAAAATGAGAAATAACTTGTTTTATTTTTTTTTGTCTGGTAATTAAAACAACTAGTAAGTGATTTATATTTATAATCATCTCATAAAGTACAGTCTCAGTGCTGTTTAGCTAAATGAATTGTCGAGAGACGCTACAAGCTATCTACATACACCGTGAAATCAATGTCGTTTTCGTCCCGTGGCAAAACTACTTGTTATAAAGAGTATTTTCGATTGTAACGTTGTACCTTGTTTGCCCTAAAAATAGCTTCGAAACCATATAAATTATAAATAATTACAATAGATTATTCTAAAACTATTATTAAAATACACTAAATAAACAAATAGAAACACATCTTACTACTTATTAATTTAAAACGCACTAAAATAATTAATTTTATATAAAAACATTACGGAACCCAATATTAATTGTTTACGCTAAGGTCCTCGCTTCTATTGCGTCTACGCATCTCTAAACGAGTTAATAACTAGTCGTGTCGGCTCGTCTCGGGCGCATTCGTAAAATCCAACGAACAGTCAACTTAAAGGCATCAGAGGTGACGGCTGTGTCACTCGATCGCGGACGACCTACGTTGCAAGATCGTACTTACCTACCTAATTAAATCTACCTTAAATCAATTATATAAATTGTAATCGGAATCCCGCTGGG